AAAAAAAAAAAAAAAAAAAAAAAAAAAAAAATTATTTGTACATTTTTAGTAAAAATTATATATATATAAAATTCTATTTTAATAAAATGTGAAAATAAAATAATACTATAAATAAAATATTATTATTATTTATTCTGATACTTTTTGCCAAGTTTAATTTTTATTATACCATTATTATAAAAATATTAAAAAAAGAAAATATAATTTGCAAATCACTTTTTAATATAAATAGTAAATTATACTTTTAAATAAATTAAATGTTATAATTAAATTCTAAATTTTTTTTTAATTCAATTGCTTTATTAAATAATTGCAAAATTATATGTAAATATAGAATTTATATAAAAGCTCTACTTATATTATGCAAGAATTAAATTCTAAATCATAATATATTATTAATATATCTAATATTATTAATTACCAATAAACTATATTTATATTATATAACAAATATCAAAACTGCAAAAATAGTTTAATAATATTTTAAAATGTTACTATATCTAATTTAGACAGAGCAGTTTTACTTAATTAAAACTAATCATACTAATTAAATATTTAAATTGCTTATTGTATTTAATTAAATATAAATAATTTTTATTTGTAATAAAATTTATCAGGTTAATATAATCTAATTTACTAAATAATTAAAAAATTAATTACACAATATTATTATAGTTGATATTCATAAAATCAAAAAATTTTTTTTTCATTCATTTCATTCAATTTAGATTAAAGATAATAACACAAAAATTTCACATTTACTGGTTTTGTGAAAAAAAGAATCCACCCACAAAAAAAAAAAAAAATTATGAATATTTTAATTGAAAATAAAAAAAAACTAAATATTAAAATATTTACTAAGGAAAAAATCTTCACAAGAAAAAAAGTTGCCCATTTAAGTAATATAACAAAATGATTAACATTATTGGATAAAGTTATCAATAATAAAAGTAGTAAGAATCAAAGTTGATCAATTTATATTATAACTAAATTAACTAAATGGAGATATAATATACGAACATTCCATTAAGAGAAACTAATGGGGAATAAACAAGACAAAATAATAGGATGCTGAGTAAATACCATAAAAAAATATTTGTAAAATAAAATAATAAAATTTTCATATACGCAACATAGCTATTGCCTTTGTATGCTTATATTTTCGTTTCAGTCTTTCTCTCATTAAAAAATGTCGTATTATTTTACATCTCTAAAAGTAAATTAAAAATTTGTAAAGTAATGCCGATATGGATCAGCACCTGACGTAGCTCTACCAAGATCACCGATATCTTCTGTAGGTTCTGGATATTTTTCAAAGTTACCAGTATCACCGGGATGTTGATATGGTGGAACAATTGGAGCTGTTACACGTCTGTCATACAAGCCTTGCCAATCAACACCTCGGAACCACTTGTGTTTCTTTACATCCTCACTTCCTCCGCGGAGATTACCAAGACGTTTTGTACGATCAGATGTTAAGAGACGTTTAATAAGATCTTTTGCATTTGGGTCAAAATGTGATGGGAATTGTATTTTGCCCGCAAGGATTTTTTCATAAATACCAAATGGATTATCATCAAAAAATGGTGGATATCTATAAACAATTGCCAAAATTACAATTTTTTAAAGAAAAATAAGTAAACATTAAAAAATGGAAAATTTATAATTTTTATACAAACAGAATAAAAATAAATAAATAAATTTTACCCTGCTAGCATTTCAAATATTAAGATCCCTAGTGCCCACCAATCCACAGGCTTTCCGTGGCCTTTACTTTGAATAATTTCTGGTGCTAGATATTCAGGTGTTCCACATAATGTCCAGGTACTATTTATTTATTGTTTATATACTCGTAAATAAATAAATTTGTCTTAATAATTATTATTCGATAATTTTTAACTCACCGATCCTCGACTCTCTTTGCAAATCCAAAATCAGTTATCTTAACATGACCTCTTGAATCTAATAACAGATTTTCGGGTTTAAGGTCTCGATAGATAATATCGTTAGAATGTAAGTACTCAATAGCAAGAACAATTTCTGCTGCATAGAATCTGGTCATATCATTCGTAAATCTCCCAGCTTTCCGCAGGTGAGAGAAAAGCTCTCCACCAATGACATATTCCAATAGCATATATAAATTTCGATCATCCTGAAATGTGCAAAATCTTCGGAATAATACGAAAAAATTTTGTCAGTTTATGTCATTTGATTTTTATTAATAGTAATTAATGAAAGTTGACACTAACGAAATATTTATGATTAACTCACAAATTCACAATGAACGGATGATGAACTTGACTAAGAATTGACTTTTCAGAATTAATGTGTTCAACTTGCTTGAGCCGTACAACTTCAACTTTTTTCAATACTTTCATTGCATAATAATTTTCTGTGTGTTTAAATTTGGTCAAAAACACACGACCAAAGGTTCCAGTTCCTATTATTTAATTACAAAATTATTAATAATTAAATAGATGGATATGTTGATAATCACTAATCACTATAAAGTATCCAAAAAATTAATTTAATTAATTTGCTAATCAATCAATGTATCACAATTGAAATAAAGTAACTAAATGAACATTCACTTATAACTACCAATGTTGATGCAATTAAATCATATTTTTTTTCTTTTTAATTCTCAATAAAAAGTTTATTGACTATTTAATTAAATCAGATTAAAGGTATTAAAAATTCTTTTAGAGCATTTACCTAAAGTTTCTAATAACATAAAATCGATCAGGCCAAATGAAGGTCTTTGGATATAACTAGGCTGCGTTTGTGTAGTTTGCGGCTGTCTAGGTGAAGTCGGCTGTCGTACTGTTAATGGTTGCTGAGTTCCGCTATCATTATCATTTCCTTCACTTTGATATGTTTGATGGTTGCCGTTTGACAAAGTATTAGGAAAGTTTGCAGTCTCAGAACTTGGTCCATTGACAGTCTCATTAGTATTGTTGCCGTTAACCGTCTTATCTTTCTTTTTGTTTGGAAAGAGGGAGGTCATCCTTGTAAAAGAAAAACTTATATACTAAATTAAGTTGTTATAATATAAATAACTTAATGTAAAAAGGTTGAGTTCAAAACAGCTGATTTTTCTTTTTAAAAAGGTTAAATGGTCTTTTTTATATTAAATTCCTTTGGTTAGATGACGCGCAAAACGCGAAGTAGTAATTTATCTTTTTATTCAATAAATAGCGTGCTTAACAGCTAATTAATAACCTCGGAAAAAAAAATTTTTTTTTGGTCAAGTCGGGGAGGAAAATAAAAAAAAAATAGTTCGTCTCTTTAGAAAAGGAGAGTAAAGTTAATCAAATGCTTTATAAATTTCTATGTTGTGATAATAAAATTATAATACCGGTAAGTACCAGTCTGTGATATAAAAAAATTTCAAAAAAGGTAACGCTAGGTGAGGAACTTTACGGGGGGATACACCGTAAAGGAAGGAATTTCTCCTTTTTTTTAAAAAAAAAATTTGACAGCCAGCAACAAAAATTTAAGAAGTTAGTCAGAAATTATAAGTCAATGCTATTGATAAATTTAATATGTTAAATTTGTTAATATCTAATAAAATACCCACATATGATCAATTTTTTTATTAACCTGGGGCTTGGGCCCGCTTTTTAGGTTAGTAAATTTATTAAGTTTATTAACTGCGCCATATTTCAATTTTATTCAACTAATTGAATTTGTAGATTTTCATATGTCCAATTCTGTACAAATTGAGATATTTTCTACAAATCATTTGATCTAAAAGGAGCTTTTTAAAGTTGGTTATGTTGATTTCCCACAGAGTGCATCTGTGCATCTGTTTTATTTCTCCGCCTTTCTACTTTTACAAATTCTTCAATGATGTCACATAATCATATCAAAGGCGTTAAATTATCATGTGAAATTTATATTATTAGTAAATTATAAGAACTTTATTTTTTAACGGTTAATGTGAAAAATTCTTATTTAATACTTTTATGTTTAATAAACATCTAAATCAGGATTAAAAAATAGAGTTATCGGAAATTATCAGGGTGTCCCAAGTGGCTATTACATGTGCCATTGGATGTTCACCTATTTGGCATAAAACGTGTCATTTCTGCACCTTCTTGCTTATTCTATAGTTGACATTTGCTCTTTAAAAACACATTCTCATTTCTTAATAACTTGTTATATATGGTAGGTAATATAATACAATTTTTTTTTTTGAAATTTACAGAAGCTTATATCACAAACCCGAGATCTTGTACTACCAATAGATCTGATTGATCTAATCTAATTTAGGAAAGTTAAACTAAACCATTAATATTATTTATCTTACGTAATCAAATTAAATTTATTAATTATAATTTGGGTTATAACAATTAATCAACTTATTATGCTCGTGCTTGTTCCATTTTTATGATAATAACGAACCACGTAAAAGGGCAAATGATCAATCTTTAAATGAAATACAATTATAAATTAATAAAGAGGAGTTTTAATAGGATAATTTTTTCTTACCATACAGAATTCAACAAATTGTTACAAACATCATTAATATAAAAAGAATATTAAAAAAAAAAAAGAATTATTAAGCATCTAAATAAATGCAATATAAATAAACCCTTAAATTTTTTTCCCGCCAATTAATTACACTTTTTTATTATTTAATTGTTTTTTTTTGTTCTATATGTCACGGAAAGCAACTCTATAATTAAAGAATATGCATATATTTATAATATCCAAACTTTTCAAAATTAAGAGGATAAAAGTACCAGCATCAAAAATATCGATATATTATACCTTGCTCTTAAATGTTCTTTTAAAAAGCCATATTAAAGTAAAAATTAAAAGGTTTTTTTATAGAAAAAAGTCCATATTGAACGTTTCTCAACATCAGAACCATGTGGAAGAGAATTCAAGATCGAATCATTCTCCTTTATAATTGATATGTTCGACATTGATTGAGTTCTAAAATTAGGTGAAGATCGACGACGATAAACATTCGGTTTATTAGATTGAGTTTGACTTCGTGACGACGGTCTTGAAACAGCTTCCTCTTCAGAAGGTGAAATGATAAAGTTAATTTTACTTGATGACATCACTGGTAAACTTCTACGATTCTCTTTCAAATATTTCGAAGATTCCGCATCACCAATTCCCAATGACTCTTGAAGTTCATATAAGAGGAGCATCCTAGGAGAAGGTTGTGACGAATCACTACCGTTAATAGAACTAGGAGTTTTATGTAGCGAATGCCCATTTAGTAGTATTCCAAGACCTTTACGCTCGGAATTATGTGGAGTATTATTTACATTATTATCTTGTTTTTCAAGAGACAAAAGTTCATTTGCTACTGTACGAGCACGTTCTATATTAGCCTGCAATGATTGATTTTTTTCTTCATGTTCAGCCAAAAATAAATTATTTGGTTGAACCGTAGAATTTGCATTGTCATTTTCGATTGTTATCTTCGGATCATTTACAAATGTTTGTTCATTAACTACACTCGAATTCGATTTTGTACAAATGTTAATTTTCTCTTCTGAATTGAAATCCGATTCTTTTATAACTTCTAAGCTTTTAGGTGATTCATCCGTGTAAGGATTTTGAAACTTCACGATATCAGAATCTAGTCAAAATAATAACAGAGAATTAATGGAAATAAAATATATTTGTAAAAAAAAAAAAATCTGAAAATATTGCATGAACTTTCAAAAAAATTATAACGAACCTAATTGAGCATTTGTCAGAACTTTACTACCTCCCCCTATTTTTGACTTATATGCAATAGCATCATTTGCCTTCTGAATTAGCTCATCTATCATCATACATATTTGACGGTATCGAGCGTCATTATCTTTTCCAATTTCTACTAAATCAGTCTTATCGAAGGGATGGTTTTTATATTATGAACAAATTTCTAGCATTTTCTGAAATTAGATAATATATAATAAAACCGTACCTCTGTTGATACTTCGTCATCGTCATCGGATTCATATATTGACATGAATGAGTCATTACTAAAAAGTTTAATAAAAAATATGTATATATAAATTCAGGTTCTTTCTCTCGTACTAAATATATAACCTACATACATATTAAGTTTTCTTTTCAATTCTTGAATTTCTGCAGCTTGTTTTTTATTAGTAGCTTCCAATTCAGCATTAAATTTCGTCAATGTTTGTATTGATATTTCCAAATCTTGAATCTGAAAGAGATAAATCAATAGAAGAATATTTTTTATTAGTCTCTTTTTTATACACACGTATATCTTTTTGAAATAAATCTATAAGAAACCAATTTGCTACTGTTTTCTTGACCTATCGACCCAATTAATTATCATATTTAAATTAAATATATTATATACATTATAAAAATCAAAGCAGCAGGTAAATCAAGAAAATAGTAGCTAGATTGAAAGAAGTTCAATGATTATGTGCATACAAAAATATATCGGAAAAAATAGAGAAACCTAAACAGCAATTTTGTTGACGATCAGCATTGCATTATTTTATCAGTCACATTATACACCATTTACTCACCTTTCTATTTTTCTTTGCTTCTTCTGCTTGTTTATCGGCTTTAAATTGACGATTTAAAGTAGCAATATCAAGTTCTACTTTTGATTTATCTGATGATGAATTATCCGACATAGTTCCAAGAGAGGATTTTGGGCGTACTTTTGCGACAACATTAGACTTGATTGAGGGAGATTTAGTAAGATATCCTTTACTACTATGTATGCTTATACTCGAATTTGCTGATTGGTTACTATCTTTATCGGAATCAGAATGGAAGCCATCATCAGACCTAGCTTTCTCTTTATCCGACAATCCTATTGAACTACTGCGAGGACTTCGAGGAACGCGAGGAACGCTTGTGTGATTGGGAGGTAAAGTGTTGCTGCGCACAAGTGGAGGTGGCTGTGTCGGAATATCGAGTTTAGAGCTACTAATATTTGTTTTAACTCGTGGACCACGAACTTTGACAGAGTTTGAACTACGATCACGATTCATCATCAGTTTCTCTCCTTTTCAGATCTTTATTAAGAGTTAATTATATAATACCCTTAGACATTCACTGGAAGTACCTCTTTTAAATACACGTATAAACTATTTGTAAGAATTAATTAAAATTTTTATTAAAGATCTTAAGTTGGTAGAGTATCCTAAATAGAGAAATAAGTAGGAGAAATAAACAATTAATAATCGGAAAACGGGAGACAAGATTTTGGTAGGAGGTTAATATGATGAGTTTGATATTATTTTATGCTTTGCGAATATAAAGAAAGATTACAAGCTAATGGAAAAAGGATTAACGGGATTGCAGTACTTGTCTCGAAGGTGTGGTTTAGGGGAGATTACGGAAGTGGAGATATATAAGGTCAAAAGTTTATATAAAAGTGCGACAATTTAGGTAACACAATCAGTATAAAGTTGACACTTTGTTTATTTTGATTTTTAGCTAAAAATTCAAATTTACATAAAGGCCATCTGACATTAATCCTTTTTTATCCTGTCTACTTTATGATCATTTCCGTTAACTTGATAAGGATCACATTTGATTTTGTAGATTTTTAACTTTCCCAATCTAAATGGAGAATCAAAATAGCAAGTTCCAACATTTGTGTTCCTTTTGTACTGCAACACGATTATGTTTTTGAGTCGGAATGTGAAGATTATGTGAAATTGTGGCCCATTCATTTTTGCACATGAAACATTAATTATTATATAATACTCTCTCACGTGAATAGGTATTACATTTAATGATTTTTTCACAAATTTCTCCCTTTTCACCCTTTCCCTCAACCAGTTTTTTTCCTGTGGTTGTTTAAGCCCTCATGTCATAGCCTGATAGCTGATAACAGTCTACGTAATAAAAGTTCCAAATTACATATTAGAATTTGCATAATAATCTAGTGACTATCCCAAAAATAGTAGTTACCATTTAATTTTGATAATTTGATTAATTAATTATTACAATATTATTACCAAACATTCTTTCTATTCTGTATTATACAATTAGAATAATTCCGCAGCATTATCAAATAATAACTATGTTTGTAATTTGGTGAGATAAGTGCGATAGATTGGGATTTTCAATAATTATTTGTAGTATTTACGGTAGTCGACGATTACCTGTCTAAACGGAAGGATTTATTATAAAGGTAATTCGGATTTTTTCATTATTTTGAATTGCTCATGAGGAGATCCATTCCTATTATCAAATAAAATATATTCTAACCTTCATAACCAACATGATGGTGTTTAATTTTTGGAACTTTCTCTTGGAAAAAAAAACAGCTATCGTTCTCTGAAGAAAGAAATATTTTTTTTTTCATAATCATCATTTGTTAATTACTTTTTTAATTAAATTTTGTCATCTATTATTATCATTGTAATTATTGTAATTGTAAATTTGTAAATATAATATAAAAAAATTAATACATATTCCTTTTAAATCATAAGGTATATACATAAATCATATAGCATTTCTTCATAAAATATATTGTTAAAGCCGATCATTATTGCATAATTTATTTAGTATTTGAAATTTAGATGCAGACATTATGAAATAAAACAAACGGTGAACACGTTATTTGAGCTTAAGTTATGCCAATTTCCCAAGTTTTATTAAAACCTGTGAAGAGCAAGAGAGAGACGTTGTCTTGATTTCGGATTTAGAATAGCGATTTGGAGTATAGAAAGGTTTAAGTGAGAAGCTACAAAAGCACACGATCCGACGAATTTAAATAGTATTTAGTTGTAACATTTATCACAAAACTGAAAAATGGGGATTCCAAAGTTCTTTCGATGGATGAGGTAACTTTACCATTTAAAATTAAATTTGTATATATTAAAATTTTTTAAAATATTTTACTACATTGCTACACATCTTTTGTAATTTCATAGTGAAAGATATCCGTTGTGCAGCCAGCTGATTACCGAGAATAGGCAAATTGACCTTTTTTATTCTTCTAACAAAAAAAATTGTTGAGAAATGACAATTTGTATATATTTATGAATATAGTTCTAACTTTTGTATCATTAATAATTTTATATTCTTTTTACATTTTTTTCGGGTGGGGTTTTAGGATCCCAGAATTCGGTATGTTTTTGTTTCGTTGTCATTGTTAGCTTTAAAGAAATATTTTTTTTTTTCTTTTTTAACAATTCAATAATTTTTATCGTCCAAAATATTATTACCATAAATATTTGTAGATAATTTATACCTTGATATGAATGGCATTATTCACAACTGTTCTCATTCGAATAATGATATGGATGTTCATAACCGTGTTTCCGAAGACAAAATTTTCATAGAAATATTTAATTATATCGATCATTTATTTACCAAAATAAAACCGAAACAACTATTTTTTATGGCCGTTGATGGTATTTATTTGAACAATGTACAATACATTTAACATTATAATTAATAAATTGCAAATCGAATTGGATATTCACGTAGGCGTTGCCCCAAGGGCTAAAATGAATCAACAACGTGCTAGACGATTCAGAACTGCTGCTGAAGCCGCTAAAAAAGCCGAATCTAGAGGTGAAGAATCATCTCAGGAGGCACCTTTTGATAGTAATTGTATTACACCAGGTTTGACTTTCATAATTTCAACCGTTAAAATCTTCTTTTCTTTTCTTGTACACTCAATAAAACCATTGTTATATAATACTCGCTAGGCACCGAATTTATGACAAAACTTTCACATCAACTCAAATATTTTATAAATAAGAAAGTGACAGAAGACTCAAATTGGAGAAATATTAAAGTAGTATTATCAGGCCACGAAGTACCAGGTGAAGGAGAACATAAAATCATGGAATATATTCGTAACACAAAAGCCCAAGTAGATTATAATCCAAATGTCAGACATTGTTTATATGGATTAGATGCAGATTTAATTATGCTTGGACTTTTAAGTCATGATCCACATTTTGCTTTACTCAGAGAAGAGGTTACTTTTGGATCAAGTAAAAAGAAAAAACAAGGGTAGGTTAAATAAGATAAGTCGAGAAGTTAATATATTATTTAATTCCTTAGATTTAATTTTCTTTATGATTCATATCAGACGTGTCGAATCTCAAAATTTTTTTCTCATGCATTTATCATTATTGCGTGAATATTTGGATCTTGAATTTTCAATACTTAAGGAAACACTTTCTTTTGAATATAATCTCGAAAGAATAATAGACGATTTCATTTTGTTGGCATTATTTATTGGTAACGATTTTTTACCACATTTGCCCAACCTTCATATAGCTGAAGGGGCACTTGGATTGATGTTTCACGTATACAAAAAAGTTTTACCGGCTGCTGGTGAGTAATAATTAACTTTATTGATTTATATATTCCTAGTTATTATTTTAATTATTTTTATTTAAAGGCGGTTATATTAATGACGGAGGATTATTAGATGTGAAAAGACTTGAGATGATATTTAGAGAATTAACAATTTTTGAAAGAGATGTTTACGAAGGTGAATTTGTAGATTTAAAATGGTTTAAAGGAAAGCAGAAGAAACATTTAGAAATGATGGAAGAGAAGAAGAGAAAAGAGAAATTAGGTATGAATATTATACATTTCTAAATAGTGAAAGCTTTATTATATTGAAACCTTTTATTATTTTTTTTTTTTTAAAAAAAAACAATAGTTCTAACACCAAAACAACGAGAAATATATAATCAGATCAAAGAATTGATTAAAACACGCACAAAACATCATTTTCCGGCTGATTATCCTGCACGTGATCGCGCTTTTATAAAAAAACTTGCTGAAGAATTGAAAATTCATCAATCAGTACTTGAAGATGGAGAAAACAAACATTTGTTCGTTGAATATGACTCTGAAGAAGAGTCAAGTGGAGAAACAAGAGAGGAAGTTTATAAAAAATATGAAGCTGCAGAAGTAATTGAAGAGGATGATACTGAAACATATCAAGAAAAGGAAAGAAAGAAAGATGATGAGGCATTTATTGAATGGAAAAGAAAATATTATAGGGAAAAACTGCAGATTGATTATGACAATCAGGAGAGCATGGATAAAATAGTTGGTTCATATATTGAAGGACTGCAATGGGTTCTATGGTATTACTACTTTGGTGTAGCATCTTGGGGGTGGTTTTATCCATACCACTATTCACCGAAAATTTCAGATTTGTATGATTTAGATAAGATCGATATTTCGTTTTTTAGCAGCAAGGAAAGACCATTCACACCGTTTGAGCAATTAATGGGTGTTTTGCCCGAAGGGAGTAAAAAATTTTTGCCTAAAGCATATCAGGTGGTGGTTTTGAAAATTTTCGACAATAAATATGATTTACTCTTTAAAAACTGAAATATTTAATTACTTTTATCTCCTTTTTTGATAGGATTTATTGTCCGATCCTAACTCTCCAATAATAGATTTCTATCCAAAAGATTTCACAACAGACTTGAATGGTAAAAAGCAAGAATGGGAAGCAATAGTTAATATCCCATTCATTAATCAAAAAAGGTTAATCAATGCTTTGAAGGGTGAGTTTAAAGTGAAAAAATTTCTTAATTTATACTTAAACATAATAATTTATATTGTCTTATCCATTAGATAGGAAAGATCAATTAACCGAAGAAGAAAAAAAAAGGGATACTTTTGGTGATAGTTTTTTGTTTACGTATGATCCAGATTATAAAGAACTATATCCTTCATCATTACCAGGTTTTTTTCCAGGTGAAGCCTCATTATTTGCATTAACCTATTTAAAATTTTTATTAGATTCACAATAACAATTATAAATTGTCCTATCCATAATTTAGATATCCCATATTGTTTGTGTCGTACTGAAGTTTATCATGTCCCAACTTTGGAAGGTCCAAAATTTATTATAAAAGGGCTTTGTGACGGAGTTCAATTGGGGATTAAAGCCATGCCTGGTTTTCCATCATTACAAACACTTAAACATACTGCGAAGCTTTTACAGCATGGGGTTAATGTTTTTAATTCGGAGAGCAAGTATGTTTCAGGTTCTAAAATTTCGACTTGGTTTTAATTTTATTTATAAACTAGTATTTAATAAGATTAAACGTTTATTTAGAAATGAAACTATGGTTATTTCAATAGTTGACCAATTTAAGGATATGAAAAATATAGATATAGCACGTGAAAAAGTTGGTGAAAGAATATTTGTCGGTACGTCTAAATTATGAAAATTTAGTATTCACTTTAAAATAATTCTTACAAATAATTTATATGTTGTTAGGTTGGCCTTTCCTTCAAGAAGGAAAAGTAACAGCTATATCTGATGAACAATTTAGATATGAATTTAATAACGGGCAAATTAATAAAATTCCACATAAACAGGAAATAACTGAAAAGTGGCGACGGAAGGCCGATAAATTTGAACAAGATAACAGTAAAAGATATGGAACAATAATTGGAAAAGTAAATGTTTTTGCACATGTTCTGGTTCTTAAAGGTACATATACGATTACTTAATTACTTCTACGTAATATTGAATATATTAATAATAATTTCGGAAATAAAAAGGTATGAAACAAGAGCAAGATGGCGCTCTAGTTAGAGAATTCCTCGAAGAGGAACAGGAATATGCAATACAAATAACAGTCGATAGTGTTGAATGTGAAGATTCTAGGTACGAAGAAAAACCTGCTGCTCCATTAGCTGAGGAGTTTCCGTTAGCTACCGAAGTATTCTATTTGGGTAATAACCATTATGGATGTCCTGGGAGAGTTTCTTCTAACACAGAAGAGAATCTGGCTGTGAAAGCGGTAATTATCTTGTATTAGATCCTTATAATTTTAATCAATGATTATTTTTTTCTTACCTCTTGTAATCTTTTCAGATCATTGACAAAAATAACTCGAATGAACCTGAATTTGGTTCAGAAGTTGCAAAAGCTTTTGCTGCAAGAATTAAATATTCTCCTTCATTTGCTGTTGCTAAAAGATTGAGTATAAGTGGTTTAACTTTAAGCAAGTTAACTGCTAGTTTACATGTTATTTGTAAATCAAATTCAAATGAACAAAAATCAACCGATCAACGAGTCAATCTTGGTCTCAATTTAAAATTCGAGGCAAAGAAACAAAAAGTATTGGGATATACCAGGAAGGCTAAGATTAAGGATAAGGATGGTTGGGAATACAGTGAAAAAGCAATACAAATTTTGGCAGAATATAAAGTTGGTTTCAGCATTTCCAATATTTTATTATGGCATTAATAATTAAACTAAATATTTTTGTACGATATGTAGGAAAAATTCCCAGAATTTATTCAAGGTTTAGAGAATAAGCATGATAAAGAGGGTAATTGTTCTGTGGATATTTTTTAACGTGATAAAGAAAATTATAAATGTTATTATACCCTTCTAACATAATATGTTTACATAGAAATATATACTGCAGAAGATTTTTATCCGAAAGAAGAGGCCGTGTCTAAAATCAATGCTATTAAGGATTGGCTTAAAACCGTTGAAGTGAGGGATTTCGAGAAGGTTCCATTAGAAGCAGAGCAATTAGATAAAGTAAATACGCCTTTTTAACAACTATTCACTTTTTGGGTTTTACGTTGAAATTCTTTGTTTTTTTTATGATATAGGAAGCAATACAAGAAATAGAAGAAGCTGCCGACGATTTCCTTAAAAATATGGTTACCGATCAAGAAGAATTTAAAAATTTGGCGCGATATGTAAGATAATTTCATTATTAATATTTTTCCTAGATAATGACAATTAAATTGATGAGTAAATTTGTTTTAAAAAGCAATTGTTAAAGCCGTCGCACGCATCAACACTTTTACAAAACCAAAAATTCAACCTTGGCGATCGAGTTGTTTTTGTTAAAGATTCAGGAAACGTACCAATTGCATCTAAAGGTACGATCGTTGGTATTGAAAAAAATAATATTGATGTAGTATTCGATTGTACATTTATGGGCGGATCTACATTGGGCGATAGGTAAGTTGTGTGCTATTCTTATCATTATCTTACGAAAGTACTATGTTAATATAAATCGTTAAATGAATTTATTTCAAGATGCTCAAATTATCGCGGAATGACCGTTCTTGCCAACTCTTTGCTTAACTTGACACGACCACAGCTTCCTGTTCGTCGTTCGAATACCGGAAATGGTAGATCAAGGCATGGAACAAATATTAATTATCAATCTCGTTATCAAGAGGCGCTACAGAATGGACAACAATATTATAATTCTAATGCATACCCTTATTATTATAATAATGGCTATTCGGGTCGTAGTAATAGAGGCTGGGGATCTATTATTCCAAATGGTTCCCATCAAAGACCTCCTAATCGTTCTCGGGGCGCAAGTGGATCAAATGGTTACATACAACAATCACAATTACATGCACGACCAATTTCACAATCACAAGCATCTTCAGGTGCTACAAAATATGGTGTACAAAATCAAACGCATCATTCTTATCGTCCAAGGTCAAATGGGAATAGTTTTTTACCCGGTAGAGGCAATGGAAGTCGTGGAATACATTATGGTGGTAATGGAATTTCACGAGGACGCGGAAGAGGAGATGGTAAAACATAAAAAAAAACGAATTACAACTGACTCTTAATTAGTTTGTGTATTTTTTCTCTTTAATTGTTTAACATCTTTATTTAATATAACCAATAATGGATATATTAATTTTACTAGCTTGTAATTTATTTTTCTTTTTAAATATATTTTCCTTTTCATGTAATCCCTGTTCTTTTACATAAATAGTTTTGGTTAATGGTCATGTGAACAGGCATTTTGTAAATTGATATCATACCGCTGAATGGTTAAAAATTTGCAATATACTTAATCCAACTATATTACGATAATTATTTTAAATTATCCAACTAATAAAGTATTTATACTTTCATGAGCGGAATATTTATTTGCTTTATCTTAAATGAATTGAATCACATAAAATCACTTACATAGAATAATATATTTTGAACAATTCATTTCTTAAAACCGATAAAAGGTCACGGTCACGGTTTCAAGTCTTTATATTGTAAATTTTGTTTAATTTATAAAATAAAGAATAACTAATATTAAATTTTATATTACAGATTTAAAAATATACATAGAAGTAATTTACTAGTGTTATGATAATGTATAATTTATTACATTACGTCATATCCTTTATGTTTTTAAGACAATTTTTTTTTTTTTTTTTTTTNGTACAAAATGTTTTCACTGTCTACTTTAGTAAGTTGTCTTGCTGACATTTTTCCTCCCCCCCCAGTATAAATACATACTTTAGAACCAACTATTCTTTTGTTCCTTACGAGAGTAGTTACTCTTGTAATTATTTTAGGCAAATGTTTTCACTGTCAGATTTTCCAACTACTTTAACAAGTTGTCTTTCCGACACTTTATCTATCTCTTTAGAACAAACTATTCTTTCTTACGAGAGTAGTTACTCTTGTAATATTTTAGGCATTTTTCTGATACCTAAAGACCGTGTGTGTAGCCGAACCGCGGAATATTCTCAGCCGCAGAATAAAATTTGGAATACACTAGTAAAATTTGGAGCTTACCCACAATGGAGATCCAACGTTATAAAAGTTGAAATTAACCCACCAGGACATATTCCACCCGATGGTTTCGAGTGGTTTAGGGAATTCACACCACTCGGCAACATAAAGTTTCGTATTGTAGAGCGTTAGGAAGAAGAGAGGTACTGTTGTAATTTTGTTCGATCTTTTATATTTTTCATTAACTCGAACTATTTTTTTTTATATTTGTTAATTAGATTGTCGCGAGGAAGGTGTTCATTTTAGCGGCAGTTGGACGATTGAACTTGAAGAAATAAGCGGAAACTCTACAAGAGTTACCGTTACTGAAAAAACTAGTGTTCATAATGTTTATTTATTTCAAGACTAGTGTTCATAATGTTTATTTATTTTATGTCAAGACTAGTGTTCATAATGTTAGTGTTCATAATGTTTATTTTATTTTATGTCAAGCAGGACACTAGTGTTCATAATGTTTTTACACGACTATATATATGTTTATCACATATTGGATCACGTGGCGAAGACGTTTGTCCGCACGCGTCGCGTCACTGAAAATTCGATAAACAAAAAAAATGTTTATCTAGTTAAACGCGTTTTTTTAAATATAAACAAGATAAAAATAGAATAAAATTTGTGATACGTAAATAAACAAGATACAAATTTTATCGCTCTGGACTCATAACGGTTTTCCGTAGTAATATTAGTAATATTAAAAAGTGACTGATCTTTCGTGGTTCGCGGATTCTTTTTTTTTTCAGCTTCTTGTCGATGTATCCGTAATTATTACTTGTTGATCGTTTTTCACCAAGATCGTAAGAAATAGATCAATTGTTTGATTATATCCTGTAATCAATCCTTCGCTTTGCTCCAGACAATTATTTAAAAATGCTATCAATATATAGTGGTATTTTCTTTATTAATTATTATTATTAACTACTTGCATTAATAATTCATATAAATTGTGGATCGCTATAATTTACAAAATATTAATAAAAAGATCAAAGATTAAAATAAATGCATATCAGATATGTTGATCATCTATACATCATATCTACTGTATATGGGGTACAGACTTTGTAATTAAGGTTGAATCAAGATGAAAAAAAAAAAATATCCTTTCGTTTTTTTTTAAAAAAAAAAAAATCTGGGATAATGACAAAATATAATAATGATAATAATGTTAACCAACAAGTTAAAAATGATTTTAATAAAAAAATACCAAATCTGAAAAAATATTCTACCATTTTTTTAGCATTGGTAATATTTAATTTATTGTATACAATATATAATGTTCATTATACTTCGTTTTCATATAAATCTACACAATATTCAAGTGGTATATCATACGAAACATATAAATATGGGATATCAAAATGTGAAGAAATAAAAAGGATTAAACCCGATAACAATCATATCCAGAATAGGAAAACAAATCCTAGATTTGTTCCTGGAACTAAAAATGTTTTACTAAAAAATGCTAGAATATTGGATGGCATTGGTGGAGATTTTATCGGTGATCTATTATTAAAAGATGGTATCATTAGTAACATTGCTAAGTTTGAAGGAGATTATGATGAGAAGAGAAGGATTAATGTAACTGATGATACTGTCATTATTGATTTAAAGAAAAAATTTGTTACTCCCGGGTTAATTGATATGCACAGGTATTATATAATTTATTTAAAATATTTTTTCTAAAAAAACAATTTTTTTTAAAAAATATTTTAGTCATGCAGGAGTGTTCTCATGGCCAGATTTAAGAGGTACAAGTGATGTTAACGAAGAAACAGATCCACTTACACCATTCGTTAGTATTAAATTAAATTAAATCATTTCCTTTTTTAAATTAAATTATTTTTCTTTTTTTTTTAAAAAAAAAAACCAAAAACAAAATTGATCAGAATTTTTTATTTAATAGGTTCGTGCAAAGGATGCGATAAATCCAAGTGACCCTGGTAAAATTTCTTTAATAGTGTTTTTTTCTTTATCTAAAACAACATTCATATTATTAACTTTTTTCATGTGGTATGATAGCAATTAGAATAATATCATCAGGGGGAATAACAACATCATTAATATTACCAGGAAGTGGAAATTTAATGGGAGGAGAGGGATATGTAATAAAAATGCGACCAGTTTCAACATTATCAGTAGAAGATATGGGAATAAATTATGGTATTAATCCTGAAGAAGAAAAGGAATGGAGATGGTTAAAAATGGCATGTGGAGAAAATCCAAAGAAAGTTTACTGGTATCAAAATCGCATGCCAACTACACGTCTTGGAGAAGCATGGTTGTTTAGAAAAAAATTTGAAGAAGCAAAAAATCTTTTTAGAAAACAAAATGATTGGTGCGATTTTGCTAGTAGATTATCTTCTATTGAACAATTAAGTAGCCCATTTCCCGAAGATTTACAATATGACAGTCTAATTGCTTTATTTAGAGGCGATGCTAGATTAAATATTCATTGCTATGAGGTGATTTATGTGTGAACTTTTTTTTTATCGTGTAAATATTGTGTGAAGTTGCTAAAAAAACTTGTTCCCTTTTTGATTTTAGACGTTTGATATCGAAACTATGATAAGACATTCATTAGAATTTAATTTTACAATAACAGCATTTCACCATGCATTAGATGCATATCGTATCACAGACGTAATAAAAAGAGCAAGTTCGCAGATTACCATAGCAACATTTTCAGATTTATGGGGATATAAAAAAGAAGCATTTCAAGCAAGTACGCGTTCACCGAAAATATTAGCAGACGCTGGTATACCTGTAGCAATAAAGTCAGATCATCCAGTAACAAATGCACAATATTTAGCATTTGAGGCAGCAAAAGCACATCATTATGGACTTGATGAGAAATTAGCTATAGCATCAGTTACCTCAGTACCAGCTAATGCAATTGGATTAAATCATCGTATTGGACAAATTACAGTTGGTTATGATGCTGATATTGTTTTGTGGGATTCTCATCCACTTGATTTGGGGGCTACTCCATTAGAAGTTTATATCGACGGTATTCCCCAATTTGATACGCCTGTTTCTGTTCTTACAAATTCTACTAAAAAGAATCATTCTTCTATGAAGAATGTTAATAATGAAAATACAGATAATACAAAGGAAAGAACAGCATCATCCGTTATTATAAAGAATATTGGAAAAGTCTTTATAGATGAAGATACTATTATTGAATCTAATTCATCGTTAAATGGTAAAAATATTAGCATAATAGTTAAAGATGGTTTGGTAGAGTGCATTGGCACCAATTGCACAAATACTATTGATATCGTTACAAGTAATTCACCGGAAGTTATTGACTTAAATGGAGGATATATACTTCCAGGAATGATTGCGGTTGGTACACCATTAGGATTAGTTGAAATTGATCAAGAAGCGATAACGACAGATGGATTTGCTCCAATTATAGTTGATCTAGACAGTGAACATAGAGTAATAAAAGCTATAGATGGACTAAAACTTGATAGTAAACATTTAAATGTTGCTTATAAAGCTGGTGTGCTTACTTCTATTACGGCTCCATTATCATCAGCTGTAATAAGTGGTATTTCTGTTGCTTTTAAAACTGGTTCTCAAACCGTTATTGATAGTGATGAGACTATAATTGAAAAAGAAGCTGCTCTACATGTAAGAATTGGTACTCCTTACAAAAATGGTAATTATAATAATTTTTATATTTAAATATTTAAAAAAAATTTGATATTAATCATAATTCTAATATTTAGATTATATACCATCGGTATCAAGTCAAATTGGGTTATTGCGTAGGATATTAATTCATGCTTTATTTAAATCCCCATTAAGAAACATTTATAATAAGGTTGCGAAAGGATTAGTTCCATTAGCAGTTCATACTCACTCTAAAGATGAAATCGCATCCTTAATTAATTTGAAAAAACAAATATCTGTTCATGGGGGCGATTTACAAATTATTATAATTGGGGGTGCAGAAGCTCATTTATTAGCTGAACAATTATCACAATATAATATTTCAGTCGTATTAAGACCTTCAAGACCTGTACCGGACTTATGGACTGCTAAAAATGTTTTGACAGGTTCTCCTTTAACAAATATTACTGGTGCAGAAATACTTGTAAAACATAAAGTTAAAATTGCTCTTGGTGTTTCCAACACTGCTTGGACAAGAAATTTAGCTTGGGATGCTGGTTGGATTCTTCATAATTCAAAGGGAGCTTTATCTGAAAAAGATGCTGTTGCTTTAGTTTCTTGGAACTTAGAAAAATTTTTCAATTTAAATAGAAATAAATTAAACAAACAGGGTTTACATGTAGGTAATATTGCTAATTTTGTCGCTTACGATGGTAACCCTTTTAATTTACATACTAAAATTAAATTAGTTGCTGGTGGTGGTAAAAAAGATATACTCATTGATCCAATTCAAGATTAAATGATTTATGGGAAGAATTATTATTCTGAAATTGATACGTAAATTTAAATAAAAAAAATTATATATATATTATATAATCTCCTTATTTATTAATTTTATTCGACAACACCTATACTCTAAAAAAAAAATTACAATAAATGATGATACAGATAACAATGTTACAGTAACTTATAACAATCATGACTACAAATCATATACATAAAAGGATATATCTTCATTTTCTAGATGACAATGACTTGTTATTTCCATATAACGTGTATCCATGTCCAAGTAATTTTGTTGGTAATGGTGTCACCCTTCCGGCTGGTTGTGCTTTTAACATACTAACAAATTTTTTAAACAGATGTTTGTGGTCCTTAAAGAAAAAGAAAAATTTTTAATTATTTATTATATAATCCCATTATGTTAGCTCAAATGAACATACCTCATTAATGAATGTGATACTCCAACCAGAAGAAAGTTCAGAGTTTCTAAGACTGTCATTTCCAGCAGCTCTTCCAACTTGATGAATATATTCATCGACAGATGTAGCCATATCAAAATTTATTACCATTTCAACATTAGGAAAATTTAATCCTCTACTTAACACTCCTGTCGATACTATAATCTCATATTCTCCATTAAGAAATGATTGCAAAATCATCATCCTTTCTTCTTGTGATTTGTCACCATGTATACTTACACTTCTTGCGTTGCATTTCTTTTCAATAGCTTGCGATAATAAATCTGCTCCCAGCTTGGATTCTACAAATATAACTATAGGTGGTTTATAATATTTCGGATCATTCAAGAGTGAAAATAATTGTTTCTTTTTAGACTTATTTTCCACCCAAAGAATAGTCTGTTTAACAGGAATATTCGGAATGAAATTCGAAAGTGAACTATCTAAATTTTCATTTTTATATTGTTGAACTCCTACGATAATTCTAATATAATCTTTAAGTAAAGATTTTGCGAGTTTTTCAATATTTTCCGGAATCGTGGCAGAAAACATCAGAGTTTGACGCTGTAAACTTGTAGCTGGTAAAGGTAATTTATTTATAATTTCTTTAACCTGATTCTCAAATCCCATTTTAAACATCATGTCAACTTCATCTAGTACAAACATATGAATATTATTCATCGATAGTTCTTTATTATGTTGATTCAATATATCGATAAGCCTTCCCGGTGTTGCAAATGCAATTTGTATTCCTTGTTTTAATCGATGAACTTGATTTGGCATAGGCAAACCTCCAACTAATAATGCAGTCTTCATATTCAATAATCCTTTAATTAAACTTTTTGCTAAATTTTCAATTTGAGAACAAAGTTCTCTTGTTGGTGCAAGTATAATTGCATAAGGACCATTTTTTCCTTCATAACATTGTGATAACGAATGACAATGTGAAATTATTGGAATTAAAAAACTTGCAGTTTTTCCTGATCCAGTTTGTCCACTTGCTAATATATCACGTCCGACTAATGCCGTAGGAATTGCTTGCATTTGAATTGATGTCGGTTGTGTATACCCCTCTGTTTGTAAATTTTCCATCATTTTCGTTGGTAACTTACATTGCGTAAAACTTAATATTGGTCTAGGAATATTTTTTCCTTGAACACTAATTCGATTTCTTGTTAAAATTGATTGTACTTGAATATCTGCCAAAGAACCTATAATTGCATCTGGTATATAGCCTGTAAGATTCACATGAAATGAATCTGAAATTGGTGTTTGTACTGTAATTTTAGAATATGTCCTTTTTACACGTCCAATATCTATTTTCTTACATTCCAAACTACAAACATCATGTTCTGTTTGATCACAAATATATTCGCCATATTTTCCACATATCACGCAAATTGGTTCTCCAGAAGAAGCTACTCGTTGTTGATAATTATACTCTTTCACCGGTTCTTCTTCTTGTGAACCTGAATCTTGTGCATCCACTTCAGGCACTTTTTCTAATTGATTCTTGATTTCTTGATGTACGACAACATTCTGTTCGACGACATTCTGTTCGACTACATTCTGTTCGAATACATTCTGTTCGACTACACTCTGTTCGACAACATTCTGTTCGAATACATTCTGTTCGACTACATTCTGTTCGACTACATTCTGTTCGACGACATTCTGTTGGTTTACATTCTGTTGAATTACATTCTGTTGGACTACATTCTGTTGAATTACATTCTGTTGGACTACATTTTGTTCAGAGTTATCTTCCATGTGCCAATCAACTTCTGCTGAAATTATTTGTTGAGCTGTAAGCCGATTTTGCTCATTTATAAGTTTCAGGCCTGGTTCGTTTTGTTTATCATTGGCCATTAAATCTATACATGTCGTTATCTTGTCTTTTTTGTCGTGATTTATATGTTTAGTTTTTAAATCTACAGTAATATTGCTTTGCTTGTCGAGGTCCAATTTTTCAGTTACTTGATTACTGATATTTAAATTTTCTTCTGTGTCCTTTTTAGAAATCGAAGAAGTGGAAGTTGTTGAAGGAACTTCCGAAGACGAAATTACCGTTTTTGGTTTTTTATTCCGATTTATAGAAATTGGCCCAGGTCTTTTAACAGCTCGAGGAACAAACATAATAATAAAACGCAATTTCTTTTCTTTTTTTTTGTAGACATCAACGACATCAAAATAAAAGTGATATTATGGTAGCACAGTGACATTATTATCATATATCACGTGATGTCAAATTTTTAGATCTTGTATTAAGGTTAAAATTTAAGATTAATCATTATTAATCATTAATTTATAACATTTTATAACATCTTTTACGAGAAAAAAAAAAATCTCCCTATTATAAAGGTCAAAATATATAATATTAATATATATATATTTGAATATAATATTTCATATGTTCAACATTTATTCAAAGAAAAGAAATTCGCTTTTTTTTGTTGGTTTTTTTTTTTTTTTTTTTTT